CCCCAAAACCCCAAAACCCCATTGAGTCAGAATCTATGATAAATCCAAAAGATGCACAAATAAAATATATAATAAAAAGGAAAGATGTTCGAAAAATTGATAGTACAAGTACTAAACAAAGTGCTGGGTGATTTCATCGAGAATATCGACCCAGCCTAGCTCAACATTTCAGTTCTGAATGGAAATGTGAGTCTGACCAACATGAAGCTGAAGCCAACACTCTTTGACTCAATGCCTTTTCCCTTCTCTTTAGCTTATGGTCAGATTGGCACAATAAATCTTAAAATTCCAGTTTGGAACCTGCTCAGTCAGCCCCTGGTTATAGAGATCAGAGATGTCTTCGCAATCGTAAGGCCTAAGCATATAAAGGAGTGGAACGAAGAAGTGGAAATAAAATCCTATCAAAAAAGCAATCAAAGCATGCTAGAGTAATATGAATTATTCACCACAAATACAGAATCCTTAGTCAAAAAAGATCCCTCATCTATTGATAAGATGGTGACTAAGATTTTGGATAATTTGGAAATCAGTATTAAGAATATATATGTGAGATACGAAGACAACTTCAGCGCCTCCAATCATGGACAAGGAAAATTCGTGATTGGTATCCTACTCAAGGAATTCAGTACTTTTACGACCGGCGCTGACTGGAAATCAAAGTTCATGGCCTAAGGGGATGATATCACCCACAAACTGGCTAAAATCAAGAACTTTACAATCTTTATGGATTACGAATTTGAGGATCCTGAGCAGTAGTAGCTGATTTAGCAAGAACAGAGAGGAGTCATATTACTAGATGACCCTGGCAAAAAGAAGAAGTTTGAGTACAAGATTGACTACGAAGGTCTGAAAGCTGACACGAATAATAAAGTCTTCATCGAAATCATTTAAAATGAGTTCCAAAATCCTGACATCAAGCATGCCTACATAGTGGATAGATTTTCAATGGAGGCCAGAATAAAGCTAAACAAAGACCCTATCGCTAATAAACTTCCTTAGTTATAGCTCGATGTGTTACTTGGAGGCTAGTTCAAGAACATAGATTCAGATGACCAAGAAATAGCTATCAGATTCTTTGTTCATTAACCTTAGATCATCAGATTTTTAAAGCTAATCGAGTTCATAGGCTATTATAATGAATTCTAAAAGGGGGCTTTAACTAGATTTGTTACTAAACCATTGACCTAAGATGTCTCTGATGAATACATCAAATAATATTTGGGATGGAAGACTATCAGTGATGATAAAAAGCAGGTCAAGTAGGCGGAAGAGAGGAGAAAGTTGCTCTCTTTGATTGAGGATGAGTACCCTTGCAGTAAGATGATAGTACTAAGGAAATTCGCTAATAGAGTACTATCACAAAAAGAGGAAGTTAAAAAAACACAAGATGAAATAGAGTAAAAGGTCAAAGACCTGTCAAAGCAACTAGTTGGATGGGGACTCTTTACCTCTAAAGAAAAGAAAGCTTAATAGTAAAAAGAGATTGATCAATATAGGTAGAAGTTATAGAGTGAATTTCAAAGTAAGCTGGCTGAGGACGAGTAAGAACTAGACAAGGAATTGCAGATCTTGACCAAAGATTTAAGTAGTCATCATATAGTAAACTCAGAAGATTTCGATAAGATGGAAGATGGATACATAAGATTTAAGATCATGCTTAAGATCCCATAAGTTAAACTAGCACTGATGAATGAATTTGAGCAAGATATCTTTGAAGCAGTAGTGATATAGCAAGAGGTATTTATTGACCTTGGAAAGGCAGTAACAACAGTACTATATTAAATATCATCATTTGAGGTGCAAGATAGATGGACTGGTGCTGCATCTTTTCCCACAATCCTTGATACCAAAGAACTTAACAATTAAGGCTAAGTGATCTAAAATTAATTAGCGTCAAGTTAGGTAGCAAATGCATTGGTTTTCAAACTTTCAACTAATGGCCCAGAAGCAGTATCACCTTTTAAAATATCTTTAAAGAGTGAGAAAACCTTGTTCATAGTTGCAAATTTTCACTTTATCAAGGAAGTGAAGCGTACTGTGCTCTCAGCTCTTCAGGGTGAATAATTGGACTTCTCCTTTTTCTCTGAGGCAGCCACCGAGCGTGCACTTTAATACATGTATGCTGGAAAGGAATTTCTCGAAGCTGTGAAGTAAGGTGAGTTTACTCATCAAGCTTTGGATATCTCAATCTAATTAACAGCTCCTATCATTCTAGTACCAGAAAATATTTTTGATTGTTAGAAGCCAGTACTTATAGTAGATACAGGTCTCATCACTCTCGAAAGTTAGCTTGAAAAATTTGACAGCAGTGTTAATTATAAAGCAGTGACATAACCTCATAATATATATGATAGATATGAGATACTACTGAGTCACTTTTAAATAAGTATACTTGAGGAAGGTCTTTAGTTAGGTTTAGAAAGCTTCTAAAGAGGACTTGGATAGTAGATTATTTAGAAGTTTGATTCCAAGATTGTATTGTTCAATTGTTTGGAAGCTATGCATCCTCTGTTTCCAACTGCAGAATTGGCCATAGTTGTCACATCATTTGAAGTTCAATTCGGCCTTAGATTCATTAAGTCCATCATAAACATCTAGACTGCAATTTTACAGTAATTAGACACTAAGGAGGATTAAATATTCAACCAGGTTCAGAATAAAGAGGAATTAAAATAACTTCGAAGGCTTACTGAGTACGAGGATATAGTGAAAATGAGGAAAAAAAGAAATGAGTAAAACCTATAATAGTAAATCAGTCAAAATAGCACAGATGATTTTTACAAGGATATTCTTGAAGAAGCAGACCCAGAGGAGTTTAAAGATGCTTTAGCTATGGAGTAGAAGTATTCATACAAGGTACCAAACTAGGAATTGAAAACTGAAAACAGAATTACTATAATAAATGAACTTGAGTCTAATAACAAGCACACAAATTTCAAGGTTTATTTCGCAGTCGAAAAGCTTCAATTAACTCTGAGAGATCATACAGTAAATGAAAAAGGAGAGGAATTATATGAAAATATCATGTAAGATTTCAACTATTATATTATTGATACAGGAACATATTACTTCTGCATTTCGGTGTTGAAGTTGAGATTGATAGGAATCTAGACACAAAGGTCAATTTGAGTATTTATAAATTCCTGATTGAAGATATCCAGAGAGATGAGGCTATTGCTTAGCCCTTTAGAGTATAAATTTTAATCTTAATTATTTAGATGATACTCTCAAGTCCCTTGAATGAACTTGCTAGAGTAAGCGATCTTTCAGAAAATGAGGACAAATACTATGAAGCTCTAAATTTTGAGGGAAGTGTAATGAGGAAGTCAATGCTTTCAAAAACACAGAAGAGATTCAGTGAAGAAGATGAGTTCAAGGATGCTCATGATTCAGAGGAAAATGTGATTATTAATGAGTGGGAGCTTAATCTAACAATTGAAGAGAATCACATTAATATAGAGTTCCATGTCCAGGATCTAAGATTTGTATTTGCACTGCCTACTGCTAAGAAATTGATTGATATAGGACTAAGATTTAAGGACATATTTGAAGATTAATAAGCAGAGGAGTTAGAATCCAAGAAAGTTAGATTGGCTATGTATGAGTAAATTTTGGACAATTTAGAGCAACAAAGCTAGAAATAAGACGAAAACCTGATCAGAAAAATCTTTATGAATTACTCAAAGGCAAATAGACTTGATGGTATTGTGGGTAAGATCATGTATAAAGAGGCAATCTAGAGACTATATAACTTATATGACATCCATTTAGATACTGATGAATTAAAAAAATTGTCTAGTAGACCAGTATCACTCCAACCATAAGATAAGTTCTCTAAATCCATTTGGCTTGAGCATCTTTCAACTAAAAATCCAATTCTTTATGAAAAGACCGAATTAGTAAAATCAAAGGTATCTGTAATTGCCTTTTTGAAACATATATCAGTTTGTGTTCCTTTGAATGCAGCTAAGGAGAACTCTTAAGTAATGTAGCTTTCATTCATATCAAATTTGATACTTAAGCAAGAGTCTATGTCAAGTAACACTTATGAGATCACTCTGAATGAGTTGATTAAAAAAGAACCCATTTCCTCCAGTGATTAATTGGCTTTCTCTATCAGCCACTTTATTGTTGAGATGATCAACACTGACAACTTTATGGATTTACTTAATAATAACTCAAGAATGTCTTCCAGATCTAGCAAATACAAGGAGCAACAGTAGCTATTCAATTCTTGTGTTTTGATTAACCCAAGTAGGCTAAATATCCAAATGAGTAATGACTACCAAGAAGATACTCTAACTAAGAGGACTGACTTAAATATTAGTCTTGAGCCAATAGAGATCTAAGTTGGCTTTACTCATATTGATTTCGTGAATATGATCTTAATCGAAGTACAGAAAACTCTTTCATTTTTAGAAGAAAAACTGAAAGCATCAGACGCTAAGCACTCTATTCTTGCTGAACGCAAAAAGCTTGAGGTACAAAAATAAGAGCTTTTAAAAGTAGAAGAACTCAAATAAAAAAGATCATAAAACAAGTTAAAGCCGTTTAGAAAATATTAGAAGTCACCTGTAAACCATTTAACATTAAAGTTCGAGTTGGAATCTCTGATGCTATCGCTTAATGATGACTCAGGGATAGTAGATCAGCCATTGTTCCAACTCAAGTCTTCTAACACTAATGTGAATGTTACCATCAATGATAAGGAAAATGATGCTGCAAGTTATATGCTTAAAAAGTTGGGTATATTCTAGCAAAGAAATTAAAATAGATTAGACGAAGAATAGTATCTTAAGGTAGATTTCTTCTCAATGATTAGTGGCAGATACTATAATTAGAGATCTCTGGCTTTTGAACCACTTTTGGAATAATTCTATCTAATTGCTTAAGTCTAGTAAATAGCATAATTTACTCCAATGAATTTAAGAGTTCAGAGTGAGAAGATGCTCAATATCAATCTAACTTTTGGAATGGCATTGACTATCAGAAAGATTCTTGATAGAATCTAGGAAAGTTTTAAAGCTACAGAGATAATCAAGAAAATGAATGGAGAGCAGAAGGTTACAGTTGAGGAGTATTCAATTGCCAAAGAATTTGAGAAGAGAATGCAGTTATCAAGTAAAAGAGACGAAGATAGAAATTCCATGACATAAAGAGCAGGATTTATATTTGAAAATCATACTGGTTTAAAGGTTAGCGCAGAACTGCATGATAGAATGAAAACAGATCTAATCAAGACCAAATCTGAAGATATCAAAGCACTTAGCCAGATTTCAATGTCATAGGTATTCATGCAAACTCAGACTATCCAGATGAGTGAATCGATCCACCAATACGACACAAAGTTCGTTACTTTAGATGAACTATATAAATAGCACAAGCAGATCATGCTCAGAAAAAACAAAGGTCAAACCATAGAAAGCATAGAGGAAGAACCAATGAAGATGGACTTTGATATTGATTGGCTTGATAAACTTGAAGGCTTACCTATTGAAACTCTTGGAGTTCATTCTTATAGAACCTCTTGCTTAGTCTAGCATCATAAGGATAAACCAAAGGAATCTTTCTTTGGCAAATAAAAACCAGAGGTCTAAGTTGATAGGAATGTTGGAGTGATACTAAACATCAAAATGGATGGATTGATTAAAAAAGTGTCACTGGAATCGCAAGTGCTTATTGCAAATAACCTAAGCAAGCCAGTTCAGATATTCGTGCAAGAAATCAACAATAAGAATCACTACCCAAGTGATAATGAGAGAGCTACTATTGACCCTGACTCAGTATTCAAAGTACCTTTAATCTGGTTGCTTGGAGTGAAGTAGTATTCTTTATTCGTTGAAGCAAGAGCTAACACTCAAATGGTTTTGAAAAATCTTCACGAATTATTTACTGATCAAGCAGCTATATCTAAGCTCAGTGATTCGAATTCTACTATTATCAGGCTTTCCTATGATTATCATATGAGCGTGGATGTCTAATCTTACACTTGCTTGCCAAAGAACCCACCTAATGGTCCACCTTAGTACCTTGTCTCCTTCAATCCACCACTTATGATAAGCAACTATAATTTCTAGCCTCTAGAAATAAGAGATGTTACTAATGGTTCGTAACTAATGGCCTTAATGGGTCCTAAGGAATCAGGCTATTTGAATAACATAGATGGCTATATATCAAAGCCAAACTTGCAATGGATCTATCATGATAATCAAAACGATGCACTTATTCTAAATACTAAGGAATTCTATGTACCTGAGAGATTGAATCAGCAGCAAGCTATGGAAAAGTTCTAAAATAATCCTAAGAATAAAAGGGACTCAAAATAGATGAAACTTGTATTTGACATTAGAAAGATTCACTACTAAAACATAAGGTCCTATCAAGAGAATTTTGAGTTGAGGGAGAGATCTCTTCACAACATTACCTCCTCAGTGTAGATCATGATATACCCTAAATATATGATGATCAATAAAACTTCCTTATCTCTTAGATGCGAGAAAGATGAGCTAGAGCCATTTACTAATCAATACTTTGTGCATACAAGAAACAAGGTTAGTTTCTAGGTGCCTGGATACAAATACTCTCAATACATTGATGTGACCACAGTTGGGCTTTCTGGACAAATAGCTTTTGACCTAAACAACAAAGATGATGTCAGACATTAACAGTTACCTCAGCAAAATTACTTCCCACAAAAGATTGAACTGGGAGTAGTTATTTCAACGGCACCCTCACCATTCAATAAGACTATACTAATATCTATAGTGCCAAGATTCTTAATAGTGAATTAACTAGGTCATCCAATAATTTTGAAACAAAGAGGATGCAAGTCTTAAGCTCTAATGAATGGGTCTCAGCTTCCTTATAACTTTGAAAAAAATTTAAATAGACAAATCATGATGAGACAGCCAACTGATGCTGAAGTTATGGCTTTTGCAAGAACAAAACGCCTATACTAAGATTAAGCAGATGATGAGCTTGAGTATTGGTCGTAGCCTTTTTCTATTGATGACATTGAAGATTTCTAGATATCTTATCCAAGTTAGACAATACATGATCATGAATAGAGAACCTGGTATCTAGCATAAGAAAATACTAACTATCAAAGATATGTCAGAGTTATTATCACAACTTAGAATGATGCGACGATTCTAGTAGTCTTGGCTAACCCTCAATATCCAGAGTATGAAATAGTAAATAAGACTGATCAAATAGTTGGGGTAGCATAGATGCAAGAAACCTCTATCTTGAATGGACTTCAGACCTTGAAAAAGTAAATGATGCCAGAGGAGATGATTGTTGGAAGATTTTCTAAGCTTACCAGTCGTGTCTCTTTGCCTTATGTCTGGGCAGATAGAACTTATTCTAACAGATTACTAGCTATAAGAATTGGAAACACAATTAGAGAAATCAATATTGATAAAGCAATGCAGAAAACCAGAATCACTCTGGCTAACAGAATCAATTATAATGTTGAAGTTAGCGTAAATGGCAATGCCAAAAAGATCAAGATATCTAACATAAATCAAGAAAAAGAATCATACAAGCAAGCACTCTATCTTCAATCACTAATGAAGAGAAGGTTCAATTCTAAACTGAACATAGACCTGGACCTCAAAGGAATAGGCTTGAGTTTTATAGATGACAAGCCAAGTGAATTGCTATTCCTGTCATTATACTAGCTCTAAGTGGAGTTATAATAGTGGACTGAAACAAGAACTGATGGCTCAGCTTAGATGGAGGATATTACTAGAGTTAAACTTAATTTGAAGCATATTTAGCTTGATAATATGGTAAATGACATCATGCCAGTTATTCTTTCTCCTGCCAAGTCACTTGGTAATACAAAGGATAAATCTGCAAAGTAAAAGCCTGTGAGGGAGATCGAAGAGTCAAAAGAGGAAAGCAAATTTAATCAGAGAGCTGATATGGTTCCAGCTGATGAAGATGCTATACCGTTTGTGCAACTAATTATTACAATCGCATAGACATAGGATAAGAAAACCAAAGCTGTTAACACCAGACTAAGAGCTTTCTAAGTGCAACTTCAAGAATTTATGTTCTAAGCTGAAACATCAATCCTAAATAGCAATTTGAAGTTTGTGATAGAACTAATATAGACCTTCACAGATTAATAGAAGTACAATGTGATATTAGCAGACAGTGAGAACTTTGAAAGAACCAAATCTATGAGAAGAGAGGACATTTGTGACTTCCTAAATGCTACCAATTCTTTGATTGATAATAATGAGACGATACATGCCAATAAAATGTTCATTGAGTTAATTCACTTAGGAGCAATTAAAACAACTCTGACTTTCAAGCTAGAAAAGAAAGCTTTTGAATTGGATGTATTTGATCCTTCCCGTGGATTCGGAATCTTAAACTTATTCTACTCTATTCTAGCCAATGTAGCAAGCATCTCTAACTCTACTTTGTCATTCAATGAACTGATATTGACTGATATTTTTGTATCTGAGGAGGTGCTGATTCAGCAGATTACCAAAAACTATGCAAGATAGGCCGTGATGCAATTCTATAAACTGATTGGAAGCTCAGACATTATTGGCAACCCAGTAGGTCTGGTGAGTAAACTAGGCACTGGTGTCTATGAGTTTGTGAGTGAACCTACTAAGGGGCTGCTAAAAGGCCCAGATGAATTTGTGGGAGGAGTCGGAAAGGGAGTCTAGTCCCTAGTTTCTAACGTCATTTCAGGAGGATTCGATTCAGTTTCTAAGATCACGGGTTCTCTATACACAGTGGTTAAGAATGTAGGAGGAGATAAAGCAACCGAGATGAAGAAACCAGATCATGTGATTGATGGAGTATACCAAGGAGTCAAAGGTGGAGTGAGTGAGCTATTCTCTGGAGTCACAGGCATATTCACAAAGCCAATAGAGAAGACCAGGGAGGAAGGAGCCAAAGGATTCTTCAAGGGTGTAGGTTCTGGACTTTTTGGAGCTCTCTCTGCTCCAGTTACAGCCACGTTAAGAGCTGGTACTAGCATTACTCAGGGAGTAGCTCAGACAGCCATTAGTATTGGGAATATTGGCAAAGAGGTGCAAATTGATACCAGCTCAGTCTATGCAAGATTCAGACCACCAAGGTACATTACTACAAGAAATGTGATTACTGAGTTTGATGAGGAATTGGCTCTTGTGTCACTGATTATAAATGACTTGTTCAAAGGCAAATACGCTAACTAGTCAATCAAGTACTTCTGCTATTTACCTGAAACTAAGGCTAATGGGGAAATCTACAACTTGAATCCTCAGTCCTCACTTGTCATCATTACTGAATCAAAGATTCTATACTTGAGGCAAGACAGAAATGAGATTAAGAGAGCAAAGCCCTAGCTGATATTCAAATCGTCTTTAAGAAAAGTAACTTAATGTGAAGTTTACCAATCGAGTGCAAACAACATCAGATCTGAACCTACCTACCTGCTAGCAGTTTAGTTTTACACAGTCGGCAAGGGCTAGCACAAGTTCAACTTCGTAAGCATTGGAGATTACACTAAGCTGGAGAAGCTCTATAATCTACTCAGCATTCTGCCCTAGGTTGAAGGGGAAGATAAAGTCAAGGGAACAAAAAGCAAAGCCAGCCAAATTCTTGAGCAATGCTTTTGACCAAATAATTGAATATCACTGATATTGATATTTATTTTATTTCACGATTTACAACTCAGAATAAGATCATGCTTCTTGGGGTTTTGGGGTTTTGGGGTTTTGGGG